TCGGGCGCGGTAGCCTCCGCGCGGGAGGCGGTCCCGCCGCGCAGCCCGCGAGGGGTTAGCTTCGGCGGCCTGCCGCTCGCGCGGAGGAAACACCTCGGCAGCAATGTTATTAAACATCTTCTTTAACTTCCGGGTGCATGGCTTGCGTACACAAGGTGGATTGCACCACCACCGCTTGCCCGAGCCTGCCTCTGGGTTTAGGAGTGTACCGGGAAAGCGTGGTGGACGGTCGGCGCGGGGGCCTTCAGGGGTGTGTCTTAAAGAAGATCCCGGGGCTCCCGAATTCCAGCGGAGCTGGTGGCCAGTCAAGCATCCATCCTTTCACAGGCCCTTACAAGCTCGGGAAGTGCTGTCTCACCTAATTGTACTTCTTCTGTCCTTGTTGTTCTCTGCCTTCCTGCTTTGTTTCTTGGGCTCTTGTCAGTCCTGTCCGACTGCCCTGAGCCTTTGCAGTTTGCTGAATCGCTTGCCCTGGGGCAGTTGAGAGTGTGGGCATGGTGTCTCCCATCCATTGGTTTCAGGATTTGTCAAGCTGGGCTGATGCAGAGGGCCCTGCCTCTTGAGCAGCAGTGCCAAATCCTGAAGGTCCTGACCAGAGAGGAAGAGCCATGGGTTTGTTTTTAGGTGGGGGGCTCACACTTAAGGCCCTTACACCAGCTAGGCCCTTTGACTAGTATTTGACATTCCAGGGGTTATTTTCCTGCTCGGGCAGGTGGCCAGATTGTTTTTCTAGTAGTACTGTCGCCTCCTGGCACCAGACTCCCAGGAGGCTAATGCAGGAGTGCAGGCTGGGTTGGGCTTTTATAGTGGATTAGTGTTTTCCTGGGATATTAACTTGTGCTTCAGAGGATTGGCTCAGTCCCACTGGCTACTCCACCAACTCCACCTCATGCACACAGTGACTAGCTGGAGAGATAGGGCCCTTCTTTCTCTTCCATCCCCTTTATCAGGCTGCTGTGCCTTCCTACAGTACATTGACCGAAGTGGAACTTGTATTGCATAAAATGTGGAGATCTGCAAGACACGGTGAGCTTGTGTCACAGAGGTCCATCTGCCGGAAGTGGTGTGGAAAGCCTGCACTTAGACTAATGGCAGGGCCTGGGCACACTTGTGCCCCTGCAGGCGTCCTGCATTGTCAAGTTTGGTGATAGCAGTGTCCAGGGCTCTTTAGGTTAAGATATGCACAGAACCAGGAGTACTTGTGGTCAGAGCATCACCTTACTGACCCAGGGTGAACTTGGTGGGACTGAGAACACTTTGGTTTCCTTAGGGAGACTCTTGGGGGTTTGGAATCTCCAAAGCCGCTGATTCTCAGGATTCAGCACTGGGTAAGTTTGCTGCTGTCTTTGAAAGATTTGTGGTAGTTGGAAGCTTTGGATTTCTAGTTGCTTTGTGAATAGGTGAATATTAACTTTTCTCATTTGTGAGAAGTGCCTAGTGTGTTTCCAGTTTCTTGTTCTTGGCCTACACTTGTCTGGTTCCTCTGATCAGGTGGCAGGTGGGTCCCCACCTGGTAAAGGGCATGCTGCTTTAGGGTGACTCAGATCTCCTCCTTGATCACAGCTGGATCACTTACCTGCCTTAAAGGCAGGTCTAGCTTGTTCCTGAGACAGGTATGCAAGTAAGTTTGGGCTCCAGCTTCACAAACACTTGTGTCATCAGAATGGCCTCTTGGAGCAGTGGCAGTGTGATGCTTTGTCTAGGTGCCCACTCTTTTAGGGCCTTGGTTTTGGATCTCTGTGAAGCTTTGGTTTCTCCTAGTATGCAGCAGTGGCTTTAGGGGAATGGTCCTATTCTCTTTGGGACAGAACAGGATACTGAGTAGATATTCTCCCTGGGTAGCCACAGGGGAATTATGCTCTTGAGCAAAAGCCTCACTGCTTCTTGGGAGGGTGTGCTGTGAGCAGCTTCTACTCACTGGCCGTATTCAGCTTCTACTCGCTACCACACAAGCCTGTCCTTGTTCATCTTCAGTTAAACTAGTTACATCTTCCTATCTGGGTTCCTACAAAACTTCCCTGAGTGGGTCTCTGGGAAAGTCTGATGTAATTTGTATGCCACAGCCTAGGAGATTTGTGTGGGTTAATGAGATGAGTCTACGGGTATAACTTGATTTCTCCCCCTCTTCCTTTGGGAGTCAGTATTGGTGAAAGCTTCTGAGTGATGCCCTGTCCATTGAGCCCAGGGATTTGGGAGGGAGTCAGGGGATTGTGGACACTGCAAGGCTGACATGGAGGTTTGCTACGAATGTTGGGACCTCCTGGTTGTAGAGGTGTATGCGGGACCAGATGATGCTGTGCTCCCAAAGTGAGGACACTGTGTGCCTGTGTCCTGTGCAAGTTGTGATCTCCCTGCTGGAGCCAGTGCCAGAATGCCATATCAATGCCCCAGAGGCCAGTCCAGATATTGCTTTGCTCCCAGTCCATGTCTTTCTTCTCTTATTTGGAGTGTTTTTTTTCTCTCTTAACTGCAGATTCAAGGGGGAAGCCTGAAGTGCTTCTCTGAGCTCTGTTTCCCTAAATCAGAAAACGTCTTCAGGTCAAGTATCCCGTGTTCTCATCTGTTGCCTTGCTTCTATGCTAGCACCAGGTTTTCATTTGGGAATGCTAACTCAGTGTGTTTTTAAGTGAATAGACAGCCTGTGCGCAGCTTCCCTGGACTGTTGCTTGGTGCTAGTCACACGGTCACCATAGCAACCCCTCATGGTTTGTTCTTTCTTCTGTACTTGGCCGGGGGCTCGGGTCTGGGTTTCCTGGATTGATTTGTCAGGGTCCTCTGTTATAAACCAAGTTTTCTAGTAGGGCTTTGGCCCCAGGAGGAACAGGAGCAATCACCATGGTAACAGCTAATGCCTCCAATATGTAATGTGTCCCCAGAACACTGCTGAGCGTTTCTCTCTATTCCTCATTTAATCTTTACCACCACCCTGTAAGAGAGGCACTGTTTTCCCCATTTTACAGATGAGGAACTGAGGCTCAGAGTCAGAGAGACTGCTGCTGTCAAGAGCAGTGTGGTCAGGGCCGGAGTTGTGGCTCAGTGATAGAGTTCTTGGCCTAGCATGTGTGAGGCGCTGACTTTGATCCTCAGCACCACATTAAAAAAAAAGAAAAGAAAAGAAAAAGAAACAAGGACTGGGGATGTGGCTCAAGTGGTAGTGCGCTCGCCTGGCATGCGGGCGGCCCAGGTTCGATCCTCAGCACCACATAGAAACCAAGATGTTGTGTCCACCAAAAACTAAAAAAATAAATATTAAAAAATTCTCTCTTTAAAAAAAAATAAACAAAAATAAACAAAATAAAGATATTTGTCTATGTATAACTAAAAAAATTAAAAAGAAAAAAAGAAAAAGAAACAAACAAAATAAAGTTAAAAAAAAAAAAAAAGAGCAGTATGGTCACTGTGTTTGTGGGTCCAGCCTTCTCATTTGGAGGGAAGCAGGCAAACCTTACAATGAAGTAGCAGAGGATTATAGCTCTTCTCCCCTTGTCCCCATTTTCATTTCTACTCTAGGGCTTCCTGGTTGCTGCATGCCTACTGCTTCTGTACACTGCTTGAGACCTTGAGAAGTTGATCTCAGAGGACTTTCCTCAGCTCCTGCCTGACCCCTGCCAGCATCTGGAAACCCACATCATTGTTTGGAGTTGGAACTTTTTTTTTTTTTTTTTTTGCCATGCTGGGGATAGAACCCAGGGCCTTGCCCATGTGAGGCCAGTGCTTTCCCACTAGCTCTGCCCCTAGCCCAGGAGTTGACACTTATTTTTGTGTGTGTGTGGGGGGGTGCTAGGGATTGAACATAGTGGCACTTTAGCACTGAGCTACATACACCCCAGGTTTTTTTTTTTTTTTCATTTTTTATTTTGAAACAGGGTCTCAGTAAGTTGCTGAGCCTGGTCTCAAACTTGTGATCCTCCTTAGCTTTCCAAATTGCTGCAGTTAACAGGTGTGTGATACCACACCTGGCTAATTGGCACCACCTTTTTTTTTTTTTTTTTTGGTACCAGGGATTGAACCCAAGGGTACTGAGCCACATCCCCAGCCCTTTTTTTATATTTTGAGATAGGGTCTCTCTGAGTTGCTTAGGGCCAGCTGAGGCTGGCTTTGAACTTGCCTGTCCTTCTGCTTTTGCCTCCCAAACCCCTAGAATTATAGGAGTGTAGCACCGAGCCTGGCATAATTATTGGCACTTTTTGATGGACCATTACAACTCTTCTCAAGGCAGGTTTGGCCCTTCAGGTGCTGACCTTCCTTCCAGCTCTGTGACATATGCTGTTCTCCCCAGAATCCACCAGGCCTGAGAGCAGCAAGGAAGGGACCCTTTAAGATAGGATGCAATAGGCTGGGGGAGGTACAGCATGCTTAGATGTGATGGGAATCTACAGAGGTATGCTTATGAACCAGCAGAGGGTCATGCATAGCTTCCTAGAGGAGAGGGCATCTGAAATGAGTCCTAGGGTTTCTCCTTTTCTCTCTCTCTCTCTTTTTTTTTTTTTGGTACCGGGAATTGAACTCAGGGTCACTCAACCACTGAGCCACATCCCCAGCCCTATTTTATTTAGAGGCAGGGTCTCACTGAGTTGCTTAGCACCTCGCCGTTGCTGAGGCTGGCTTTGAACTCCTGATCCTCCTGTCTCAGCCTCCTGAGCTGCTGGGATTACAGATTTGTGCCACCATACCCGGCCCTCCTTTTACCTCTTTACCATTACCTGGTCCCACCTGCCCTCAAGAGAACAGATTTCCATGTCTGTGCTAACTGTTCCATGTTTTATGCTAACTGTGCTGCTTTGTAAATAAGATAGTCCTCAAACATGGAAGCTGCTGAAGTTAACCAAGGTGCACAGGTCCTCCCTAAGCTCCCCAAGTAGGAAAGCCACTTCTTGTCAGCCATGATTAGGGGAAGGTGGGCAAGGACAGCTTGCTTGAAGGGCTTGGGGGAGAGGACCAGTTCTGGCCCCAGGCAGTGTAGCTGGGGGCCAGTGAGAGTTCTTAAATGAAAACCAAGTTTCCTTTTTCCTTCTGCTTTTCCTTTTCAATTAGAATACCGAATTGTGTTTTCCTGGGTCTTTAGCATTATCATGAATTCTTTCAGATGACAGAGCAAATGCTTAAGTGGCAGGTATATAGCAAGTAGAGCTAGCTGTCGTGCAGTTGGAATTTTTGTGTTGTATATACATACTGGCATCTTTTTCTTCAGTGTGATTGTGTTTTGGATAATGAACTAAATTTAACACTGTTTCAGGAAGGAAACCACATCAGGGAGCCGAGAAGTTGGTGGGAAGGACACAAAAGGAGAGATACGGTTCTTAGAGGGTCCTTTTGCCTCCTATTCTGTTTAAAGATTGTAGCTGGAAAGGTGTGAAATTGCTGATCCCAGAAAAACTGCTGCTTACCTGGGTCTGAATCCTGTGGTAACTGCATGTGGAACAGGAAGGAGATAGAGCTGCACCCAGACCCTTCTCATGGGCAGCATCCAGGATAGACACTAGGCCACATGGGTATGGGGGGCCCATGGGCTACATTGGCCGGGATGTTGTCCTATATCATCTAAGAACACAAGGAAATGTCGTCGGCATCCAAATCCTAACTGGGAAAAAACTGCAGAAAGAATGCAAGAAGAGCAGGATGTGGTGGCCAGGCCTCTGATCCCAGCACCTCTAGAGGCTGAGGCAGAAGGAGGATCCCAAGTTTGAGTTCATTCATGGCAGCCAGGAAGCAGAGAGAGAAAGGGGAGGGGGCCACGGGGAAGATGAATCCTTCCAGGAAGTGCCCCCAGTGACCCACTTCCTTCAGTCTTGCCATGCCTGTCTATAGTTAACATTCAGGTAGTTCATTTAAACAAGAATGAACTGATTATGTTACAGCCCTCACAGTCCGATCATTGAACACTCTTGTATTAACATAGGAGCTATCCAGACTATACCCAAACCATAACAGGCTGCCAAGGTTCTCTGCTGGGGTCCAGAAAATCGCTGTTGCAGGAGAGGGGAGTGTGGCCAAAGGAGCCTTGATCACTGCTGAGGCTACATGCTCTACTCCATTTTTGCTCTGAGAGGTGGCTGTTCATCAGGCCTGGCCCAGGTATGTTGCCCATGCCTTTGAAGCATCCTTCAGGCTGAGGTCTGTCACACCACTGTGGCAGGGCCTGCAAGACCAATGAGCAGAAGAGAAGAGAGGGCAGGCTGCAGCCCTGCAGACAGACCTGTCTTTAGTCCTGGGGCTCTAGAGTGTTTCCTGCCTACCTGGTCCTGCCCGGGTGGGGTTGGTGGATGCTCAGTGGTATTCCTTCACCTCCTCAGCTATGAAATAGTGGCTTCCTGTTGCTGGCTTGTCTCCCCCCTATGCTGCTATAAGTCAGAAACATCTTTGGATGTTAAGTGTCATACTGATGCAAGGTTTTGTTCCTTTACAGCCCCCCTGAATGTGGGGCACCTTCAGGCAGCCTTGGGCCTTTACTGTCATCTGCGTCCCTGAGCATGACCCTGCTTCTCTTGGTGGAGAGAGGTATTATTACATTAACAATCTTTCCCCTCCCACCACAATGCTGGGGAGTGAACTGATGGCCTTGTGCTTGTTGGGCCAGCACTGTATCACTGATCTATATTCTAGTCCCATCAACTTCTTAAATGACTTTTATTAAACATGGATTATTATTATTGGTACCAGAGATTGAACCCAGCCACATTGATTGAACTAAGCCACATCCCCAGCCCTTTTTAATTTTATATAGAGACAGGGTTCTCGCTAAGTTGATTAGGGCCTCACTAAGTTGCTAAGGCTGGCTTCAAACTCACGATCCTCCTGCTTCGGCCTCCAGAGCTGCTGGGATTATTGGTGTGCGCCACCGTACCCAGTTTAAGAAATTGTTTATTTGCTTATTTTTGGTGGTGCTTATTATTGAACCCCGGGCATTGTGCATGCAAGGCAAGCACTGTACCAACTAAGCTTTTTCCCCAGCCCCACAAGAAATTATTATATTGAATTTTTGGAAGAATTCTGGTGCTTCAGTGTGGCACAGACAGTTAAACACATAACTCATAATCAGCAAGTGAATAAAGCCAAGGTTATTGTCTGTGGGAACAGAAGGGTTTGAATTCCCCAGCCCTTTTTATCTTTTATTAAAAACAGTGTGGCAATTTCTTAAAAATGGCCCAGCAGAGCTGGGGCTGTAGCTCATGGACAGAGCACTTGCCTAGCATGTGTGAGGCACTGGGTTTGATCCTTAGCACCACATAAAAATGAAATAAAGACATGCTGTCCATCTACAACTACAAAAAAAAAAAAAAAAAAAAAAAGCCCAGCAAACCAGATGAGGTGGTATACCCCTGTAACCCCAGTGACTCAGGAAACCAGTGCAGGAGGACTGCACATTTGAGGGCATCTTCAGCAACTTAACAAGACCTTCAGTGACTTGGCAAGATCTTTCCTCAAACAAACAAACAAATATAAAAATGAAAAGCACTGGGAATCCTCAGTATAAAAAAAAAAAAAAAGAAGAAGAAGAAAAGAAAAAATGTGGCTCTCTCTCACTCTGTTTTCTCATCAGCAATGCATGAGAGTTCCAGTCACTAACTTTATGGCCAACATTTGATGCCATCAAACTCTTATCAGTTAACTTCATTGAGGTATAATTTATGTACAAAATACCTATTTGCATTTAAAGTTTGGAATTCGATGAGTGTTGACATTTTTGAACATCTGGAAGTGTACAAAGAACTTTACACATAGTCCTCATGTAGACCACCCCTGTCCACTCTGGAACTGGGCATCTGCTGGTCTTTGTATCACTGTAGATTTGCTTCATTTTCTAGATCTTGTGTATAATGGAGTCACACATATGAACCTCTATGGCCTCATCCGACATTTCCTGGGAGAGGGTTGCACCTTGTCATGGTTAGTGTCCTCCCTTCTCTGTGCTTTGTGGCCCATGTGTGTAGACCGTGGTGCCTAGGTCTGTTCTAAAGATGGGCTTTTAAGTGGCTTCTGTTTTGGGGTTGTTCTGAAGAGTGCATTTGTAGAAATTCTCACGCTTTTGGCAAAGTGTCTCTGCATTTCAGTGAGGGATTTGCCCAGGAGTGGATGTACTGGTTGTAGGTAGGGCATGTATATGCTCAGCCTCAGAAAACACCACCAGTTTTCCAAGCAGTTGAACAGTTTTTCCTCCAGCAGGATCCCTTGCCCTTTTCTTTCATTTCAGCCAGGCTGGTGCTGGGATACCTGTTTCTTTGTAACACCCATAGAACAATTCCAACCTCTAGAACCACCTTTTGCTACTTAACTGTTTCCCAGTGGACTTATTTTTAGTTTGTATCCAACCCTATATAATAAAACAATGTTGCAGTAAATAGCCTTTTGTAATGTTTACACCATTCTGCTTCTTTACTCTTGCTGCTCTACAGTGTTACCTTATGGTGCTGGAGGTTGTAAATCTGACCCTAGCTTCTCTGAGCTAAAATCCAGGTACAAGGTGTTGGCAGGTGCATTGCTTTCTGCAGGATCTGTAGGAGAGTCTGATTGTTTGCTCTTTGGGTTGTTAGCAGAATTGAGTTCTCTGCAGTTACAGAACTGGGATCCTTGTGTCTTTACTGGCTATAGACTGGGCCTGAGCTTTTAGAGGTCACCTGTGACTGCTTCCTCCATCTTCAGGGCTGGCAGCAGTGGGTCACATCCCTCTGATGCTTCTGATTTTTCCTTCTCCCTCTGTCTCATCTAACTAACTTAGATGAGGCTTTTAAGGAGTCACATAAATAAATCAGGTCCACCCAGAGAATCCAGGAGAATATTCCATCTCAAGGGCCAGATCTTCACTTTGCCCTGTGAACTAACCTGTTAATCAATTTCTTTCTTTTCTTTTTTTGATACTGTAGATTGACTCCAGGGTTACTTTACCACTGATCTATATCCCCAGCCCTCCTTTTTGAGACAGGGTCTTATCAAGTTGCCCAGACTGGCCTCGAATTTGCAATCCTCCTGCTTCAGCCTCCTGAGTAGCTGAAGTTATAGGCATGAGTCACCCTATTCTAATCTATTTCTTTATTAAAATCATTTTACAAACTTAAATTTACAGCAATAAACCACTATTCATCAATACCCACGAAAAAGGAATGCAAAGATTTAAGAATACTTGCTTCTGAGCTGGGATTGTGGCTCAGCGGTAGAGTGCTCCCCTGGATGGGCGGGACCTGGATTTGATCCTCAGCACCACATAAAAATAAAAAAGGCATTGTGTTGTGTCCATCTACACCTAAAAAATAAATATTAAAAAAAAAAAAAAGAATACTTGCTTCTTAGCTGGGCTAAGTGGCACATGCCTGTAATCCCAGTGCCTTGGAAGGCTGAGGTAGGAGGATCACGAGTTCAAAGACAGTCTCAGCAAAAGTGAGGCACTAAGCAACTTAGTGAGACCCTGTCTCTAAATAAAATACAAAATATGGGTTGCTCAGTGGTCAGGTGCCCCTGAGTTTGGGGGTACCAATCCCTGATAAGGCCCCATCCCCCCAAAAAAGAATAGTTGCTTCTTGTCAGGCATGGTGGCATACGCCTATAATCCCAGCAATTTGGGAGGCTGAGGCAGGAAGATTACAAATTTGAGACCAGCTTTAGTAACTTAGCAAGACTATGTCTCAAATTGAAAAATTTAAAAAAGGGCTGGGGATATAGCTCAGTGAAAGAGCACTTAACGCAGCAATTTGAGAGGCTGAGGCAGGAGGATTACAAGTTCATAGCCAGCCTAAGCAACTCAATGAGATCTTGTCTCTAAATAAAATATAAAAAAGGGCTGGGGATGTGGCTGAATGGTTGAGTGTCCCAGGGTTCAATCCTGGTACCAAAAAAGACTACTTGCCTAGCATGCACAAGGCCCTAGTTTCAATCCACAGTACCAAGGCGGGGGTGGGGTGGGGTGGGGTGGTGAATACTTGCTTCTCTGTGCATGTACTGGCACAAGTAGGATGTCCCCACTGTGCTCCTGACAACATGATGCTGTCTGAAGCAGTAGGATTCAGGAGCACAGTGACCTGGTGCATGGGCTTTAAGAATTCCTAAAGTTGTATCATTTTCTCAGCCATAGTGCCAGGCTCCAGAGCATGCTCTTTGCCTGGTTTTCACATGGGGCAGTCCATAGCATCAATTCCCCCTAGACTTCTAGAGCCCACTGTGTTCACTGTTGTCAGGGCCCAGTTCATCCATTCCATTTCTGAAATTACTGCTCAGTCTGGGTCAAACATTGCATCATCGAGGTAGAACACTGTTTTGATCATCTTTTTCGTCACTGTGATCAAAAGACCCAACAAGAACAAGTAGAGGAAGAAAAGCTTATTTGGCTTACAGTTTCAGAGGTCTCAGTCTGTAGACAGCCAACTCCATAGATCTGGGCCCAAGGTGAGGCAGAACCTCTTGGCAGACGACTATCGTGGAGAAAAGCGGCTCAGAACATGGCAGTCAGGAAGTAGAGAGAGCTCCACTCACCAGGGACAGAATATAAACCCAAAAGTCATGCCCCCAGTGACCCACCTCCTCATGCCACACCCCACCTGCCTATAGTTACCACCCAGATAATCCTTCAGTGGATTAATGCAGTGATTATGCTACAACTCATAATCTAATCACTGCCTCTCTGAAAATTCTTGCACTGTCATCACACATGAGCTTTGGGGGGACACCTCATATCTAAACCATAGCAAACACAAAAGGGTCTCTCAATTCCTGCACCAAAAACACCATGGTCAGCTAGAAATCCTTAGTGGCAGAAGCGACAACCAATTATCTCTGCTTGGAGTGGGCCTGCACCTCTCCCACTGGGCCTCTACAGCACCAGTGTGACTGACAATGTTGGGACCAGTCACCAGAAAGGCACACTCTGATCACCTCTTGCAGGACTTCCTTGTAAGTTTCTTTTTCTTGTTGTTGTTGTTGTTTTTAAATATAGATTTTTGTAGTATGGGTCAGAAGAGAGTATGTGTACTTTCTGCTAGGTATTATGTGGTCTGGTTGCATTTTGCTGCAGCTTGTTGGTTAGCTTACAGTTTCTATGGGTCAGGCTTGCTTAGGTCCTCACAGAGTCTCAGGGCCTCCCATAGGTGCTAATTGAGGTGTTAGCCAGGGCTGGAGCTCGTCTGAGGATCGACTAGAGAAGGTTGCCTTCTAAGCTTAGCTCCTAGTGAGCTGTCAGCCACCCTCAGTTCCTGGCATCTTCATGGGGTGCCTTACTTCACAAAACCAGTCAGTCAGAATCCAGTCTCATGAAACAGTCTTGGAAGGAACATGCATCCATATTCTGTTGATCAGAAGCAAGCCTCAGGTCCTACTCACCCTCCAGGGGATGAGTCCCAGAAGCCAGCCCTGGGCCCACCTGTAGGCTGGCTCCTGCCTCTCTGCCCTCAGCAAGCTACACCAAGTTTCAGCTCTTGGAGCTCCTGCAGGCTCCTCTTTTTTTTCTATGCATGTGGCTCTTTTCTGAGGAGGTCAGAATCCTCCCTGTGCAGGTGTGGACAAAGCATCTTACC